TTCAACTGCAATTGAAACTCGGGCCCTGACTAAACTGCGAAAACGCAGTTTCAAATGCAATTACAAACTGCTTTCGTGACTACGCCGTAGTTACCCCTTCAATTCTAGTCAGAGGTCGTGCTATCCCTTTGCATGTGCAGGCATTGGAGAAAAAGTTCCATCTGCAGTGGTAAGAAGAGTGGAACCGGGGGGCCGGTAAGAAAGAGTGGGCGAGAGGTGGTAACTGAAGAAAAGGCTGCCCCACGTGGATGTCTTTGGACTCTCTACCAGGAGAGAATTCACGTTTTTTGTGCAGTCATCGTCGTCAACTTCCGAGCCAAGAGGGAACAACTTATGAAAGATTTCTTTTGGGTAGAGATGCGGCACATTCCAGTGGAGGTACAGGCTGCATTCGTCCATGATTTGGGCCAACAGTACAACATAGTGGATTTCATTGACCCCCTCCCCTCCTTTGTGGCGAGGCGGGACGACTATATGATGCTGGCCCTTGACCTTCCCAAGGACCAACCGTTCTCCATGGATGACATAATCCCCTACAGAATGGGCGGAAAGATATACCAAATACACACCGCACACAAATTCCGCCCATGGTGCCATAAGTGTAGGGCATATGGCCACCTCAGCACGGAGTCCGCGTGCCCCCAACATCCCAACATGCGGGGACCGAAAGCGGGACGACTCCAACAGGACCCGCGCAGACCCAACAGATGGACCACGGTGGACCGGGGCCACGAAGGGTGGGTATATTGGAGGACATCGACCCCGAAGGAAGACCCAAAGGTTGGACATGGGAAGGGCGGGGGGACCCCTGTAGAGCGACACGACCGCCAGGCGAATGGGTACACCCCGCGAGGAAAGCCGCCCCTGCGCTGGGCAACAATGCGCTACCCACACAGCCATCCGGGGGGGAGAAGACTGGGCTGCCCACACAGCCCCCCAAAAACCCGATCGAGAAAACACCCGCCCTCAAAGCCCTGCCCCCTCAAGGAATAGACAAGCAACTCAAACCCCAAAACAAACAGCCCCAAGGGGGACAAAAGGGTCGGGGCTGGGGTCCGGCGGCAATGGAGTACATGCCAGTAGTCCAACAAACAACCTTGGACACGAAAGGGTCACGGCGGCAAGGGAAACTCGGCCCCATACCCGCCCCCCATAGCCCCGAGTTGGCAAAAGGAAAACCGACATTGCAGCAGAACTTGCAGAACCTGCAGCAGGGGAAACTCGGCCCCATACCTGCCCCCCATAACCCCGAATTACCCCTGCGGCAGAACCCACAGGACCTGTTCGAAGACGCTTTTGGAGTAGAGCCCATGGACATAAAAACGGTCCCGGGTCCCTCCCCCCCCCCCCCCCCCCCCCCCCCTCTGGAGGTGGAGATGACGGACGCTCAGGAACAGGGCGTTGACCATGCCACCCCCTCAGAAAGGGGCACTGTAAATAACAACGAGGCGGGGACTGGAACGCAAACAGTGGGGTTGCAGGACGTGGCAGACTGACTGATGGACAACTTACACTTAAGATACGGGGAAGGGAGCGACCAGTTCTGGGACAACACCTACCGGGAGCTTATCCCCCTCCTGGAAAGTAGCGCCAGCCTCCAGAAGGCCCTGGCCAAAGGGCTGCCAGTGGGAACAAACTGGTCAGAGGTCTGCCACCGACTCTGGGGTATTGTGGCTGCCCGCTTCCACCCTCCGCCCCCCGGGCAGGACCCAGCATCAGGATCAAGACAGGATTTGGAACAGCAAGAGCAGGGGCAGCGGGACGAAGGGATGCAGCAGACCCAGGGCCAGCCAAATGCGGTCAAACGGGGTGGGCAGCAAGGCGGGACACAGCGGGAGGAGAAACAGGGGGGCCGCTCTGGGAGGAAGATGGGGGAAGAGCAGAACAAGGGGGGTGGAGATGCACAACATTGCACTAACGATGACACAGAGGCGGGCCTAGTGGACACGGGGAAAGATACAACCGTCAGCCTAGATGGGGCATCAGACACGCACAGCGTGGTCAAACCAGAGGCCACTCGCTCCCCGGCCGCAACGGTGCGGCAGGACAAGGGGCAGCAAGTGGAAGGACAACGGGGGGAGCGACAGCGGGGAGAGGACAGGGAGGAAGCGGGGCGGATACGGGGAGAACATGATAAGGGCGAGGTACAGACCACCAGCCAACAGGGGAAGGGACAGCAGGAAAAGGATCCGGCGGGGACGTCGCGAGTAGAACAGGGACAAGGAGCAAATAGGGAACAGAACAGTAGCACAGCGATCCCAGAAGAGATCACAGACAATACTGAGCACACACACCAGGGGTCTGAGAAAACGGGGACAAGCTCGACCAAAGAGCAGCAGCACGAGACTGGTACAACAACAACAACACCACCTCAGGACGATCCAGAAAACACAGACCACACAAAGAAGGGACCTGAGGATACGGGGACAGGTTCGGTGCAAGAGCAGCAACAAGAGGATGATCCGGAAGCTGCAGCAGGACTGTGTTTAGCGCTCCCCGCCTGGGATGGGGCCAAACCGGCGAAGCCACCCTCCCCACACAAGCCACCCCCGCCCAAGCCCCCGGACACGGAACTCACGAGTCACAAGCAAAAAATCAGACATCTATTGGAGACTGCATCTGTCTGCGACTCTCCCCAGCAAAAAGGCATAGTCCTGCTGCCGGTCCGGCAGAGGGAGGGAGCATGGGAGGTGGGGCTGTCAGCTCCCCTAGGTACCACACACGGAGAAGTCACCCTCCAACGATACTCCTCGGTGTTTCTCTTGCTCACCCCTTGGGCCGGGAATGCGGTGTTGGGAAAGATGGACATTCGCCTGTTGATTCATAACCGGCTCCCGGCAGGAGCCTCCGTGGAGTTGGTGTTCTCCCAAGGACCAGGGAGATTAGGGCTCAAAGACATATATGTGCGCTACGACCACTTGAAATCTGATGAGTTGAGGTGGATAGACTTGGAAGGACTTACCGACCTGCAACTGCTGAAAAAAGAGGCGGGCGACCTTTGGTCCGCCAATGAAATCGGGGATCTCCTAGTCCAAATCCTCAGACGTGGAATTCTGTGGAAAGGCGGACTCTTGGATACGGAAAACTGGCTAACTATGTGATTAACACCAAGGGGGTCTGGAAATTACTACCCGATTAATATCAGGGGATGAATGTGTTGGAAGCCTTGTACGGTAGGGACAAAACTTGGAAGCTTTGCAAAAGGCAAGCCGACCTCGACCTGCGTTCGCTAAATGTGAACGGCCTCGCTTCGACAAAATTCCCTAAAAAACAAGCAATCATGGACCAGTTGAAGGGCGTCGACGGGAAGGCCTGGCCGGACGTTATATGCTTGTAAGAAACCCACCTCATGGACAGCCCTGACCACAACCACAAGCATAAAGAGATCAGGGCCCACCAACCCTTCCACGCACACGCCCCGCGCCCGGGCAGCGGGGGTGTGGCCATATGGCTCCCGCCGGAGTCCAAAGTAGAAATGCTTAGCTGGGACGCAGATCGCGAGGAGGGCCGATGGGTCTACCTATTGGCAATGCTGGAGATCGAGATGGTAAGTATCCTGAATGTATACGCCCTCAATGAGTCGGCGGCACGTCAAACCTTTTTTGAGTCTCTCAAACCCAAGCTACCGGTAGGCATCCCTGTGATTCTGGTAGGAGACTTTAACGCGGCCCCGGACCACTGGCTGGACAGGTGGAAAATTCCGGCTCCCTGTCCCTTCTACGTGGAACACGACGAGAGGATGATTGCGGAACTCTCACAATCACTTAGCCTCTTTGACACCTTCCGTAGACATTTCCCCACTGACCGTCGCTTCACCTGCTTTTGCAAGAACGACACGGACAAGGCGACCAAGTCTAGGATCGACCTCATACTTATCTCAGAGGAGATCCAAGGGGCGCTCCAGATCGCAGAGATATTTCCTCGTAGCCCCTATCCATGTCTGGACCATGCGATGTGTGTGGCAATCTTCTCCTTCAGGAGAAAACGGGATCAAGGCAGGGGCTTTTATAAGCTGAACACCTGCGGTTCAAGACCTACCTTGCTGAGGTGTGGTCCTTTTGGCAGGAACAAAAACATCAGATCCAAGACGAAATTGAATGGTTCAACAACGGCCTGGCTTTTATAGGTCGCAAGTGCAATGAATACTCTAAACTTCTCGTGGCACGTCGCCACGCAGAGGAACTAAACTTACAACGACAACTGCAGCACATACAACGACAGGAAAACGAGACAGATGAGGAGCAAACGGAGCTCGCCAGAACCGTCCAGACCATCGAGACCCGCCTGGTGGATCGCATGGAATATAGATGGCAAGGTGTGCGGATCCGTGGGCGACTCTCCAAACATAATACAGAGGGGGCCATGGACGCTCGGTTCTTTGCCATGGCCAAGGCTAATTCAGGGAGGACAGTCATTGAAGCCTTGGAGGACCCCAAAATTCAGCAAGGCCCCCTGCACACGTCTACAGTTGCCTGCACAAAAATAGCACACGACTTCTACCAAGCCTTGTTCACCTCGGAGTGCGGGCAGCTCCCCACGCATCGACGAACATCGGACATTGCCGAATTTTTGCGCCCGCTTACTAGAACCTTAACAGAACAGTAGAGAGCACGTCTAGACGAGCCCCTAGCGAAAGACGAAATATGAACGACATTATCGCAAATGGAGGATGAAAAAAAAAACGGGCATAGATGGGCTCCCCAAGGAGTTCTGGGCGGCAATGTGGCCAGAGATATCGCAAGATCTCATGGATTTCTACCGGGAGGTCTGGGCCACAGGACAGACTGGGGAGCTGGTGGGGCAAGGGGTGCTGACGCTCCTCTAAAAGAAAGGGGAACTGACTAATATACGGAACTACAGACCCATTACCCTGCTAACAGTGGTCTATAAAATGATGGCTAAAGCATTAGCCAATCGCATGACACCGATAATGCCGGACATCATTCATCTTGACCAAACAGGCTTCATCTAGGGCAGGAATATCCAGGACAACATCCTCCTGGTCAACGAGACGATCAAACTGGCCAGGCAATCTAAAAACAATGTGGCCATCATATTCGTCGACTTCGAAAAAGCTTATGATCACGTGGATTGGGTCTTCCTAGACATGTGTTTGCAAAAGCTCAACTTCGGGCCGGACTTTAGAAGATGGATTAGGATCCTCCATTCCAGTGCAACTACCAAAGTCATGGTAAATGGTAACCTGGCCCCCCCCATCACTCTGCAAAGATCCGTACGGCAAGGGGGCCCCATAGCCCCCTTCCTGTTCGTAATCATTATGGAAGCGCTGGCCGCCAACCTCCGGGCTCATAAGGACATCAAGAGAATTCAAGTGTCTGCCATTCCTGAGGAAGCAATCCCGGTGTGCTCCTTGTTTGCGGATGACCTGACTCTGATGGTGGACGCCTCCTGGGAATCAATGGAGGGAATCCAACGTATGATGGACGACTTCTGTCAACTCTCAAACATGTGTGTAAACTGGGGAAATAAAACCCAGGGATGGTGGATCCACCACCAAGGCGTGAGGCCGCCAGAGCAACCCAGGCTTAAATGGCTCCCGGAAAAAGCGCCCATTAGAGTGTTGGGGGTATCAATGACGGCGGAAGGCCGACCATCAAGCAATAACGAATGGCTCACCGGGCCGCCCCTGGCAAAAATGGCCCTCTGGAAAAACAAACATACCTCGCACTTTGGACACTCCCTGCTTATCAACAATGTGGTGCTGGCCTCGTTATGGTACAAGTCGGCTATCTGGGCCATGGAAAAGAACGCCCTGCGCCCATTAAAGCGGCAGATAACAGCCTTCCTATGGAGGAGTGACCACGAGGCAGCAAACGTGATCCATCGGGTGACAGGGCACTCTTTAATCCAGCCGAAAACAAAAGGGGGGCTCGGCCTTCTTGACCCGCAGGTGCAGACCAAAGCCCTTGCGGTGCAATGGATTAAACGGCTGATTTTTGATCCCGACGTCCCATGGAAAGGGTTGGCTCTAAAACAGATCTCCAGACTGGCACCCCAGACAACCGCAGGAAGCGCCCCGACGATGTGGCTCGAAAATCGGGATTGGTCCATCCCGAGGCCCAGGCGGGAGCAGCTTGACGGCGGCCCTCCCTCCCCCAGACGAGCCGCAAGGGAGGATCTGCGAAATGACCCGTTCTGGCCCATTCTCATCAAAACATGGCGGGGCCTCCCTCTACCAGACAAAACCTCACCCGACAGATGGGAGGAAGTGGCGAGGCAACCCCTCTTTGGCAACAGGTGGATAGTGGACTCAAGAGGACAAACTCTCCATTGCATGGACTCCCCCTGACAAGGGTGGATTCGGCGAGGGGTAATGAGAGTAAAGGACATCTGGGACATAGAGACGAAGGATTGGATCAGCCCCGACAAACTCAGACAAAAACAAAGGTACTAACACCGGCCACACGAAACCCTGGAGGCGATCGTGGAAAAGATCCCCCTGGCCTGGTGGAGGATCCTCCACAAAGACCCAACCCTACAAAAGAACGACTGGGTGGCAGTGACAGGGCGACAAGGAGAAGTGGGCAGGGTGGTCGGCCGTCTCCCGGGAGGCAGCGTGGAAGTAATACTCTTCCAAGTGGGACGAGCCAGCATAATCTCAACGTGTGCTCCGACAGAAACCGTAGAGTGTCAGACAGAAGAACTTTTCAGAATAAGAGTCCTTGAGGAGAACGAACAACGCATAGCCTTCCTGCTCGGCTCCCCGATCCAACATCTGGCCTTGGATCCGCTAGAGTGGACATGGACAACCTGCTGGGGGAAAGGCAGGAGCAGCACCAGGACACTATATGGTCTAACGGTCAGATCCACCTATAGGTTGCTCAGACCAACGATAAATCTTAGACAACAGGTGGCAGAACGCTGGAGGCACCACTTGAATGTCAGTGCGGAGGCTCTAAGACCAATCAAGTGGTTCAAGATGACCAAAGACAAACCGGCTAAAATTGCTTCCCTTCAATGGCAACTGGAACACCGCTGTCTGCCCACAAACAACTGGATGATAGATCGAACCTCCCTGGAACAGAGAGGCCTCGCCCTCCCATGGTGCAAATTATGCATCAACTCGTTCCGCTCCAGAAAGCGCCCCGAGACAATCGAACACATCTTCCTGCAATGCCCGGGGGCGCTCTGGATGTGGAGGAGGTGGGACCGAATCTGGGGGCAGCTGGAAACATTAGCCCCGTGGCCCTGGGGCTGGCAGGCAATCCTGTTCGAAAACTGGCCGGACTCAGACCAGCTAGATGACTTTACCGCCAACATGCTCAAAGTAGGGCGGAGGGCGGTACTCTGGGCGCTTTGGCGACGGCGTTGCACCTTCGAACTGGAGGGTGCCAGATTGGAAGGGCCTGATTTTACGGAAAGCATACAGCACCAGGTTCAAACAGAAATCACGGCGGTGTGGGAAGGGGTAAAAACCCGAATCAGAAGTCTGGACAGAACACAAGACATTCTACTTAAAATTCAGGAATTCAGTAAAAACTGGCTCGGGGGACCTGACGGGGGGAGGATAGGGAAGGTTGAATGGAAAGGGGCACCCCCGACACCCGGGCCAGACCAAGGGAGTAGAGAACTCGTAAGGGATTACTGTCTTACATTCAAAGACTGGACTAAGGTGGATGTGGCTATCCCCCTGAAACCTTCCGAGGACATCCCCGAACTTCCCCCCCCCCCCTCTAACTGTCTGGTCGAAAAGCAGTGGTATGGAGGATGAGCGCTAGACAGGTAAGAAGGGGCCGGATGCAAGGTGAAGCAGTCAGCAGGCGGGAGGGGGAGCAAGCAGCTGGGATCAGCCCCGGATAGTAGGCGGGAGGGGGAGCAAGCAGCCGGGGACAGTCTCAGCCTTCCTCTTCTCCAAGGGAACAGCCGGCATTGGGGTAATCAGACGGGTGTCGGAGCAGATAGCTTGAGACAGTATCAGTCTTTAAAGTTCCAATCTGGCGCCCTCCCTTGGGAGGGTGAAGAGATACAACGGCAGCATCAGTTCTCCAAGTACACACGGCTCGACTGGCAGACAACTCACAGATGCTCTGGCTTTGCACATAAGCCTGCTCAGTCAATCCCCTGAATTGGCAGGGCAATCAATGCTGGCAGGAACCATGGCTACGCGCACATAGCCAGGATAGTCCAAATCATGCCTTTCAAGTGTAACGGGACGCTGGACCCGATTTCCAGCAGGTGATGCTCCCCACCAATAGATGGAGCCTCTCCTCCGGTGGTAGTGCTGTCTGCTCTTATCAGCAGCACTATCACTGGCAGGGGTGTTTTTCAA